CACAATAATAACGTAGTTACTGTAACGCGTTACTTAATAACGTGTTAGTCCCAACACTGATTATGGAAAATGTTAATTAAGTAGAATATTTTAAAAAACATATTGGATTTACTTATTAAAGGTGTGTTAATCTGATGAAGGTTAGCTTGCTAAATGTTGATCAGCTAAAGTGGGGTTTTGTGTTGATATTGGAGTGCAAAATTACTGATGGAAGATGGACAAGAAAAGATCGAAGCCATCAGGCCCTCAGTTTAGAAAATAAGAGAAAAGAAGTGTTTGTTTGGGGGAGGGACAGTTCACTCAGGGCACCAGACAGGCTAGGACCACCCCTGCACACAATCATACAAAAACACAAATAGATTGTGATTCTCCCCCCCGCACACGCACACACACACACACACACACACACGGTGTAACAGTCAAACGGTTGTCATTCTTCAATCAATCAAAATTTATTTATATAGCACATTTTTAAAGACCGAAGTACACCAAAGTGCTTTCCAGTAAAATCATGATACAGATAAAAATCACATTATAAAATATAAATTACAGATATAAATAAAATAATTACATAATCTAAATGCAAAGCCAGATGTAAATTATAATTCGCCTTGAATGCCAAGTTAAACAAATACGTTTTTAGACGTGATTTAAAAGACTGAATGGAATCTGATGCGCGAATATGAAGAGGAAGAGTATTCCATAACCTGGGTGAGGCAACGGCAAAGGCACGGTCTCCTCTGGTCTTCAGCCGAGACCTAGGTTGCACTAAGAGCAGTTGGCCCGATGATCTTAGTGCTCTCTGAGGGCTATACACTGCACAGTTCTTCCTTGAGTATAACAATAAATGAAATCACCACATTAAGAAAAAAATATCATTGTGATCGTTTTGAGATTGAATTGAAAGTATTTTGAGGAAAAAAAGTTTGCTATATATAACGGAGCGAAGGTGATTTTATTTCCACAGTGTTTTTTAAAGGAGGGAAACCTTCCTCCAAAGGGACAGAGCAGTGGAGCCGCCAAGGGAAAGCACACGAATTAAAAACTGTATAGTTAAAATATAATTTATTATATTTAAATTGTTAAAAAATATAAAATGAATTAAAACAACCCTGGCCAGGGGACAACACAATAAAAATCAATCGGCACCGGCCCGTACGCCGCCTCCAATTTCCCGCAGACGTGTAATCTGGCCTCCTGTTGCTGCAGCAGTCGAACCGCTCGCTCCGCGTCCCTGCTTGCTGGCGCTGTATTCTCCTCCTCCTCCTCCTGTAGACTTTATTCTTAAAAAGGTCGATTTAAAAAAAAAATTAAAGTCGCCATAATACCCCGTTGTACTTCCGCGAAATTATTGCGGAGAGATAAAGACCTACTCACGTGTCCCCTGGAGGTGGAGCCGGGCCAGCTGCAGGATGCACTGAGGAAATAAAAAGAGGTGAGCTGCATCTGAAAACAGGCTGAACGGACGCACAGGTGCATCAAAGGTAAGACACTGTGCTGCTCAGGTGAAGTGGACAAAAGAAAAAATTAGGCTACAGTCAGAAACCTGCATTTGTTGCATTCTTTTCTCTATTAACAGCAAACTGCAGCACTACAAATAAAATTGGTTAACTTTTAGAATTTAATCGTCAAAGTTTATATAAAGGTAAATTTGTCACTCCATATAGTAACCTGTCAATTAATGAATTCATTCATTCATGCAGAATCGGAATACTATATTACTTAACCAATTATTCTTTTCTGTGCTGTACATTTTTTTCCCGATTATTTTGATTTAATCTAATTTATAATTTTTTTAAATATATGCGATTCCAAACAATGTGGCTTTTTGGTCGTTTCAGATGAAGTGGTTTGAAGTTGTTACCCTTGCTGTGTGCGTCCTCGTACCTGCCGCTCACTCCCAATCAAAAGGTGTGTACTTCATTTAGGAATTTACTGTTACACTGAATTTCTAATTATGTGAATCTAAATGTTCTGTTTTTTCACCCCCTTCTTTTTTTTCTTCATCCAGCCTGGTGTTATCACCTCCCATCCTGCAGTAAGTACCCAATATCTCCATTATCTATTATATTGTTGCCCACTAAGTGACCCCTCCTCGGTGACTTTACGTGTCCTTTCTGTTTATAGATGACACAACCTGGCCAACAATTTCCTCCCAGTATTGCAACGGCACCCGACAGTCACCCATTAACATCGTCTCAGCATCTGCCACACCGAACGACAAACTGACTGAATTCACTTTTTTGAAGTATGACGACACCTCCGCAATGACGTCAATAACAAATACTGGCAACACAGGTGAGCACCGGGAGTTTGTGGCTACAAAAGTGTGTTGTCATGGGGTTTCTGTAAACTTTGTATCTCAATTGGCCTTGCGCCTGAATTTTTCCTTTGACTCCTCGCAGGTTAGGTGTAACTTTATCGTGTTTTTGTTTTTTCACCTTCTTTCAGTCCAAGTGACCCTTAAGAGCGGAGTTAAGATTTCAGGAGGGGACCTGTCCGAGCAATACGACAGCCTCCAGTTTCACTTGCACTGGGGCAACGGCTCCTCTGTCCCCGGCTCAGAGCACACAGTGGATGGAAAGCGCTATCCTATCGAGGTACACATTTTTTTTCTTGTTATTTTGGTGTATTTTTGAATATATTAATTTTAAATCTGTAAAAAGAAAAAAAGAAAAAAGAAAAACCCAACAGAAATAAACAAGCAAACGTCTGTATAACTTCATTTTCGCAGCTGCATATTGTGAACAGCAAGTCATCCTACAATGGAAATACAAATCTAGCCGTCAAAGACTCCACCGGACTTTCAGCACTTGGTTTCTTTATCGAGGTGAGAGAAGCAGTGCACGAGATGACGTAATGCTTACTGTGTTGTTCAGTATTGAGGCCTCACTCGATTTTTTATTTATTTATTTATTTATTTATTTTTTTGGGGGGGGTCTCTTTCCTCGTCTGTTATGGGGAATGCGTCAATACCCCTTTCTTTTTCTTCCAGGTAATGTCAGGCAACTCAACTGGCCAGCCGGATAGCTGGCGCAATTTGGCTTCTTACTTGCCCAACATCACAGAAAAAGGTGACTTTTTTTTTGTGGAAAACCTCCTCTTCTCTTTCTGACTCTAAATTGTGTCACCCGTAGTTCCTTCATGTAAGTCTTGTTTCTGTCCTCAGGCCAGAACGTTTCAATTGCAGCCGGGTTTTCCCTGGACGACCTGCTTGTCGGTGTGGATCGCACTAAGTATTACCGCTACCTTGGATCCTTGACGACCCCCGCTTGTCAGGAGGCGGTGGTCTGGACCGTTTTTAAGGAACCAATTAAAGTCAGTAAAGATCTAGTAGGTGTCATTTCATTTCTTCCTTGTGTCTCCTAATTGTCATTGCTGTGAGCACAGATGCACCGTTAGTGGTTCATACAGCTAACTGGAAACAAAATATGTCTCATGACCAGATTGACCTCTTCAGCACCACACTGCACTTCAACGACAGTTCATCACCAATCATGATAAACGTCTACAGAAGCCTGCAGCCTGCACAGAAAGTCTGGACTCAGAGCATCAAGGCCTCCGCCTCCACAACCTGCTTCTCCCTGAGCCTGCTACTTCTCAGTCTTGTACTGGGCTGGAGTTGGAGCTAAAATAGAAAGAGGATGTCATCAAGAACTTTGCCGATCAACCCGTTGCCTCACCTCAGCGCGCCTGTCTTTTCCCATTTAACTAAAACTGACTGATTTCTAATGTAGCTCTTTGTGTTTGACATAATCACGAAAAGTATGAAGAACAACTTATTAAGTTCAAGGCTACTTCTGTTCCGATCTTATCTCTCAACACTATCTCTTGATTATGGCTACCTGTGACAAAGCTTTTGCCTGTTGTCAGATTTGAGTCTGTATGATGAATGCACCTCGTGTATGCAACGTTTACTTTAAGCAGTGACATCGACATGTTTTCATTTTGCAAAGCCATATGGTCTGAGCAACTGAGATGTGTTCCATGTCCGTGTTGAGCTGCCAGAGCTACATGTGGGTGACACATTGCTTATGCCCTTAATACTGTACTGTGTTGCTTGAACATGAAGAAAACTGTGACTTTCTTGGTCTTATTAAATGACATCTAAAATTATTTGTGACTGTTTCTGCAGTTTTATTGTCTTTTTTTAATTCTTGGAAGTTTTCTTGAAGTTTCTCTGGAAGTTTCTCTGGAACTTTTAAAATGATACATATATGGGTGGAGTCCTCATCTGCATTTGTTACACTTAACTAGGACAAGCTGTCTGAGCTTTTGAGAGCTTTCTATTCTAGTTCACAAAAAGTGCGTAAACAATGAACTTTAACACAAAAGTCCCCAGTTTTATTCTGTGGTGGTTTAAAACCTGTGAAGCTGCCAATGTTTTGTTCACACTGTTATTAACCTTACATAACCCATGCCATTTGCTAACAAAGAAGAGTAAACAGACCTGTTTAAACTCAATCCGTCTAAAAGATTTGGCTGTTTTTTTGAATCAAATGTGTAATGGTTAACCATCAATGAAGTTGAAGAAAGGCGAAGGCCATTGAAATACGTGTGCACAATGACTTCTGTCAGAATTGCAGTTATTTTGATTTTAACTAAGCGAAACATATTTCACTGAAAAAAAAACTTTTAGAAAAAGTATCTGTACTTGGTCTCCTACATCTTGTCCCTGTCATCTTGCAGGTGTGTGTCCAACATTCCTGTTCCTTTTTCCCATCTTCTGTCACCAGGCTTTTAGAATTTAATAGAGGTTTGATTAGTCTAGCATGGAGAGCACGAGAGTCCAAATGACTTTGACACTGTCCTGCTTAAAACACTTGTGCAAGATACATATAAATAGACCATAATTTTACAGCATAACAGAAGCATAAACTTATTATCCTTATTTAAATTTTTGTTGTGTTTGTGATTTTTCTAGTAAGTAAGCCGCGTGCATTAGTTAAGGCCAACCCTTATAGTGATAAACTGAAGTTAGCAGTCACAGTGAACAGGGTAGACATTGCCAAGAGTGAACTCTTTGATGGCGACATCCCGTGCAAGGTGAGGAGGCAAACAGATTTCTCATAGTTGTTACACTGGAAGAAACACTAATAAGTAAATTAATAATGTGCAGTTATATCAATTTTGACAGATAGATCAGTTTAAATGTGATTTGCAGAGGAATATTTGGCATAAAAAATATTTACCTGTCTTAAAACACCATCTTACGTTCCTCCAATTAAACAGTACGGAGATTCTAAGACTCAATGACAGATGGCCTGATCAGTGACGAGCCCCAGTTTGTTCGGTTTTTCACTGAGAATGGTTTGAACATTGTGGACTACCTAACTGCAAGCTGGAAAGTCTGTATTGCTCTTTCAGCTACTACAGCACTGCCTATAGAAAAATATGGCATCTGCACGAGCATCATCAGAACAACAGAGTTCATCCTCAAAAGTAATGGCAGATAACAATCAGAGCAGACCAAGGAGGGAGTTAAGCCATGAAGGTATTCTTTTTTACAGTTGACCTGTGTTAGGGTTGAAAAATTTTGATTTTAGATTTAAATGATTAAATAAAGCTGTTTTAGTTATTTCATTTATACACAAGGCAATTCTGCTCATAGCGAGTTGGCGCTCCGTGTTTTGAGGGTCACGGAGCGCCAACTTGTTGGCGAAGACTGAGTGGATGACTGGGCTGAAATATTGAAGAGTGGACATAAAGCGCTTGAGGGTCCTTTTCTGCTGCACGCTTACATACACATGATAATGGTTTTCTATAAGTCTCTGGGTCAGAGAGTCCGAACAAGATATCCCGAAACAGACCTTAGAATCAGTGGAAGAACAGTAGATAATATGGTAAATGGCCTGTATTTGTATAGCGCTTTACTAGTCCCTAAGGACCCCAAAGTGCTTTACACATCCAGTCATCCACCCATTTACACACACTGGTGATGGCAAGCTACATTGTAGCCACAGCCACCCTGGGGCGCACTGACAGAGGCAAGGCTGCCGGACACTGGTGCCACCGGGCCCTCTGACCACCACCAGTAGGCAACGGGTGAAGTGTCTTGCCCAAGGACACAACGACCGAGACTCTGTTCTTAACCATGGTTTTAACTTTTTATGAGTTTTTTTTGCCGAGATGGAGATCTTCTACACCTTAGTTTTATTGTTGTTGGCGATATTCACCTGGAGTCAATTACTTATACACACGAGGAACTACTTGGATTATGGTGGTCCTGTTTGTCTATGTACGACTCTTCTAATGCTCGGACAGATATAATTCTTGGTGAGGATTTATTTGCCCGGTCAAACACTAATTTTGGAAAGCCCCGCCACTTGAGAAAATGCGGAAAGAAAGGTGGCGTGCGTCAGCGTGTAAGAAAACTTCGGAGGAAGAATCGTGTTCCTCTGGCTTCTATGATTCTGGCCAATGTCCAATCTCTTAGGAACAAAACGGATGAATTACAAGGGAATGTGCGTCATCTACAGGAATACAGGGAGGCTTGTCTGATGGCGCTTACCGAGACATGGCTGACCGATATGGACAGTGACACTTGCTGTTGTCACACTCCTGCATCTCTTGTGTAAGCATCTTGAGGCACCCCACACCTATGTAAGATTATTCTCCAAAAAGTTGATTCTGTTCATCTGGACGTAGCGTTTTGTGGGAGAAACATTTTGTCACTCATCCAAGTGACTTCTTCAGTCTCAGCTGACTGCAGGTTTCCCCAATCTTATAAACAGTACATTTGCATAATGACTGAAACCAGCCCACTGAGGGAACAATGGGCTGGGAGGTCAGTTCCTTAATCTTAATTTTGCAAATTCTCATGACCATTGATCAACAACCATTGACCAAAACCCACTGATCAAAGACCACTGATCAATGGCCATGAGCACCATTCACAGAGAGTTGGGGAATGGCTGCAATCACAGCATTGTAAGATGGCGAATGATGTACCCTTAGGCCCCCTCCTCGATTCAGAGATGGTCTTTCCCTTTTCACGTAAATGGCCTCTTTGACTCTGCACTCAAACCAGCGGCGTTCCTTCCTGTCCAAGGGGAGGAACCCCAGAAGTTTGAGAACCTGGCTGGTGGTGAGACAATAACAAAAGCTGTCAGCTATTATTGATGTTATAATTATTTTCTATTTAGTTTCATAACCATTTTCACAAAGCACCCTTTGAATTTTCCTTTATGATGGAAAATTCAAAGTTGTGATAGCCTTTACAGGCTATCACAATTTTCACATCTTTTCTTCATGTTGTTGTCATCATGTCAAATAGCAGATGAGTATTACAAAAGAAAGGTAGCATGATGCTTCCAAAATAACACAGGCCACCTTCATGTTGAGTAAAGCAGCTACTGGTGGTGGATAAGGTCTCAGTTGCTGTGCTCTTCCAGTCTCTGCTGTCCCAGATCTGGTGGGGTGATATGAAGAGGAAAACAGAGATTTGGAAGCTTCTGCTCGCGTTCTTCTGCCCGATCCTCTGCTACACCAACCTCATCTCCTTCAGGTAAGATGCATGTGTTTTTTCAGAAAGGTTGTACTTTTATGCAGATATTTTTAAAAAAACGTCTACATATTTTAAGTCATAGAAAACAAAGTGATCAGCTGGAGAAGGAGGAGGGAATTCCTATGAGGATGAGCTGGATCATGACACTAACAGTCTCTATGGAACCACAGTCTTCTCTTTCTCTGACATCAAGCACCTGTAATATTTCTACTTGCACACTTCAGTGTTAGTCTGTAGAGCATCAGTTTGTCAAGCAGTGATTATTCTGTTTTATAATGTTATCGCTTTACATTAGCTAAAGTCTACTAATTTACTCAAAATGTTTTTGTTACACGAGTGAAGTTGACTCAGAAGGTCACAGGAGTGGTGCCATGAAAGGTGAGTCCTGTTTAGAGAATAATCTTTGAATAAGTGTTGTCACTCACTACAAGAAGAAAGTCTGACTTCAGAAATTATTCTTTTCACCACATGCTGTCATTTTAGTTACCTGCTAATCTGTGTTTAATACAGGTGTGCCGTCCATTCATAGCTTCACGCTGGCGTCAGTTCTGGTTTGCACTGGTCACCTCATTTCTGGGCAATGTTCTGTTTCTCTTGCTTTTCGCTGTTGGTGGATTTCAAGCCTCCACCCCCCTCAGGTCCAGCTGCTACTGAGTGTGTGTTGTACTTCTGGATATTCACCCTTGTTTGTGAGGAGATCCGACAAGAGAGTGTAGAGAGACATCTTACTTAGAACTTTGTTCACCAAAAAGTTTGGTAAGTGTATAAAATGTCAAGTGAACAATTGAATGCAATAATATGCACCTAATTCAAATATTTTATTGAATTGCACGTAGTTGAAGGACAATATATCTAAAATGCCATTTCAATACAGTGGTTAGAATACTGTCATGTCAAGATGGACATTAAAATAAATAAATATATAGAATGTTTTTCATTTATCACTGATTTCATATGAGTTAACAAACACATAGAAGATTGAATAATATATCATAAATTAAAATCTCATTCTTTGAATTTTTAGTTATTCTTTAAAATTATGACAGCACACAGAAAGTCTTTTTCTGTATTATCATATGTTTTTCTATGATTATTGTGCACTTTGAAAAACTGAATTAAGGGGCTTCAAGGTGCATGTATAAATATGCGTATAAGCATTATTATCATAATAAAGTATGTTGATAGTTGTTTGTTATTGTAGTTTTTGTTTTCTAATGATCTGTTAAGTTTATTTTGTCTTCTTCAAGACAAATTGTTTTGGGGACAATGTTTTGACCTCAAAGGTTCAGACTCTAATTTCAGGATCTGTGGAATAAATGTGATCTCACTGCCATCAGCCTGTTCATTATCGGACTAATCTGCAGGTATGGATAAGAAATAAAGATGATATATAATCCTGGATTGTCCGTGAAAACCTTTCCACAACATTATAAACCGTTTATAGTTTCTCTTTGCAAGATTGTAACATTTATTAAAGCACTATAGTTTGTGTTTTTTGAGGAACTTTTTGCTGTCTTAAGTGTGTCTTAAATAATTTTCCTAATACTTAGCTTTTATTCACTTATAATTGTGGTGGCAGATTTCTTTTCTCATGTATTAATCACATATTTAATCATATCACATTAGTGATAGTGATATCACTTTCTCATATAGTTGTATGCATGTGCGCTACAAATGGGCTTTATGCTCTATCACACACACTAACACAGTGGAGACATTGCAATTGGAGACGTTAAACAGATAGTGAGGCGCCTTCTGCTTATCAGGGATGTAAATCCTTAGGTGACGGTCAAGCAGAAAACAAGGTCATTATTCTCTCTGTGAGGGAGGGGGTCAAGGATGAGCTGGACTGAAGGTATAGAGATA